GCCTTCACGTGATATTGCAAAGGTTAAAAAAAAAATAAATAAATAAAAAAAATAAAACTATTAAAATATATTATTTAAAATTTTATTTTAAAAATAATTTTTTAAAAAAAATTTTAGAGCAAATTTGTAGAAGAAACAGTTTAAAGGATAAAACATACTCTTTTATATCAAAAAACAAGAAATTTCTTAAGTTATTGCAGATCAGAGCAGAGGTCCAATTCTGCTGAACATAAAGATATTTGTAAATAAGCACCATCTCTTCTGCCCCAATTTTAAATATCAGATTAGCGAAAATCATAATACAATTTTAGTCAAGTTATTTCCAGTAATCTGACATTTAGAAAAATGGGGTAGAGTGGATAGTGCTTATTTGGACAGATTAATGAAGCAACCAACATTCAGCAGATCGACTAAAATTTAGGTCAGAATAGGTCCGGAACTAGGCTGGCATTAATTAATAATACAAGCCAACTATGCTATAGCAAAAATATTATCTGTAATTAGTAGAATTTTGGAAGATTTTTGGAGAAATTGATCAATTCCGGCTCGATCTGCTGAATTTGGTTGACAGTATTAATATGTATTGTAAAATTCACATAATAAATACAGATTATAATACTTAATAAAATTATTAGAATTATTGAGACTTTAAACTAAAAAAAAATAATATTTATATAAAAGAATTTTACTATAAATAACTAGTAATGCCATTTATTTTAGCAGTTTTAGAGTAAAATAAGGACAGATATAAAAATCCAAATTTTAGTTAGAGTTAGGTTTTTGGGAGTTTTAACATTTTTGCTTAGTATTACTAACCTAGTAACTATAGTTGATTTTCATATCACATGATCTCATTAGGTGATTAGCCAATCAAACAAAGATTTCATCATGCCGATTAGACGGAATATATCGGAACTGTGCCAGTTTGATTAATCGATTAGTTGCTTTAAATTTTTTTAAATCGATTAGTTGGAAAGTTGTCAACTAGTTGATTTTTCAACTAGCGATTTGATTCACTAATTGCTAACCTAGATTAGCTAGTAGGTTTTTGAGATATAAATATCACCGGTTATAGTTAGTAATATTCAAAATAAATTATGAAAGGGTGAAATCCGCGCTTAATTAGGGTTAGTTACTATTTTAAATAGGATTTGCATCAATAAGGTAACTATTTCTGCGCGGGTTTCGCCCTGTAGTATAAAATTTATTACTGTAATCACCTATATAAACCTCTTTCTATAAGCCTATAGAGCTATTACCCGAATCGAATCCGGTCTAAACTTCTTAATCCGGGTTATGATTCTGGTCAAATCAACATTATTTCATGCTTGAAGTTGATACCTGCCTGAAGTTGCACTTGACTGAACTTAAACCCCTGAAATTAGATCATCTTGCACTAGTTAGTAATTTTAGACAGGAGTAACTTCAGATGCCTGAAGTTGCAAATTCAGGCACGGCAATTACAGTGAATCGCCATATGAAAAATCCCCCTTGATAGTCTCTACCAGGGTTAAGAAATTAATATATATGAGAAGCCCGAGACTACTGACTGGTAATTCTTTAATTTATAAGTAAATTATAATAAGCAGAAATTCACTCTTTCTATGCAATTTATCCCAGGCATAATGTAGGTTTATAATCGGTGGAATGTAACATATCCGGATAATTTATATGGTAAAAAAATGTAACGTTTAATTAACTAACTCGTTTTAGGAATATCAAATATTTAAACATATTAAATATTTACGTAAATCCAAATTTTTATAAGATTTACGATTTTTATTGGAAGAAGGATAATTAATGTAACGTAACCCGGAATTTTGGTTAAAAATATCCGCGTGTGATCCTCAAATCGGCTAATACCAATTAAATCACAAGATTACCATGTAACACGACTCTAAGTTAGAATTGGGACTTTAGAAAAATTCTTTGATAAAGCATACACACTATCACCTTATATAGAAGTTAACAAATTTTCTGTAAAAAATCAATTTTTAGGCAAATTTAGCACAGACTCATTACGGAGCCAACACTTTAGGATCATGATAAAGCTACATATTAAGAACATGGAGACAAGAATTTTCAGTTAAATTTTGATTTTGTGCTACGTAGCATTTGCCTAAATTATAAGTCTATTAAATTATCAAATATTTGTAAAATCAATGTTTGTGAAATATATCTGTGAATCAAGATTGTGAAATCAAGATTTATTTGTGAATAATCAAGACGATTTTTCCGTGTCTCTGACCCGTTTGACTCGGGTCAGGACAATCTAACCGGGTAAAATTTCCAAATAAAAAAATAAAAAAATTTTTAACGTTAAAAATTTTTAATTCTTTAATAAACAAAGAATAAATTCTGCTATGTACTAAAATATATATTAGTACCGACTGTATGTTATTATGTCTCTATTATTGTGTAATTTTTTTAAACAAATCTAGTGGGATCAATATTGGTTTTAAAAGATCTACCAGTAGTGTGATTGGCAAACTGGAAGGGCGAGCTTTTTTTTAGCTCGCTAAATCGTGACGAAACTCTTGCCACTATTTGGAGAGCTAAAAAAGTCCGCCTCGCCAGCTTGCTAACCACCCTAACTACCAGACAAACATCTATTTTTTTTTTTTTTGATTAGCAAATTAATAGTCGACGAATTTTAACCATGATTATTTTAAAATAAAAATTTTAAATACAAAATTTCTATGTAATTAACTGTATTTTAACGGTAACCAATTAGCACTAATTCATAAATGTTATATGTGCATTTTTATGTAAAAGAGTTGCAGTATTAAAAAGAGCAGATCCTAATGTTCACGGTTGGAATATGATTCGAGCTCTATACATATTGTTTCCGTTAGTCTTTTTTAAGACGATCCTCGTAATAGAACACTGCATGTTCGCTTGTTTAATTTATTGGAGAGGATAGGAATATTGATGGAACTATGTAAATAATTAAGCCCAAATAAAATGTATGCTTTAGATTTAATATTTTTTTTAAAAAAAAATAAAATGAGAACCAAATTAAAAACTGTTTAACAATGGTCCTTTTATGAACTGGTGTAATTTAGTAATAAATATAATATAAATAATGACATAATTATGGTATATAATCAATATTAACTTAGTAACACAATTTAATAGATCGTGAACATTTTCTTATGATGTTTAAGCAGAATCATACAGATGTTGTGACTCTTAATAACAAATGAGAAAAGTTATTAACCAAACTAAGTAATCTGCAATGAAATTAAATTTCAAATATATAGTATTTATAAATGATACCGCTTCGCACTGCAGAACAATCTCCTAAATGCAAATGATTCACAGAATGCTTTACTCCGTGTTATTTTTATACAACCTTTGTTCCCATGAAAATCTTTACTTTGTATGGAATTGTATGCTTCGTAGAGTAATATAATAATTTATTAAATCTTTTTTTTTTTTTTTTTTTTTTTTTTTTTTGCTAATTAAAGGCATATTTAAAGATAATTCCTTCAGGCGCACTGGATCGGTGTTACAACTAATTTTAATTTTATTATTTGACAATTCTAACCTTAATATAATAGGTTTTTTTTGAAAAAAAAGTGACAAATTAGATCACGTCATTTTGTAGATCGTAAAATATTATAACCAGTAAAAAAGAAATTTGGCCTAATAAAAGTGTTATCCTTTAATTGCTAAATTATGTCCCAAAACAAAAGCATTAACAATGTTTGCATGAAAGTCTCTGATAATCGGAATTTCGATGATCAAAGCAGCATGGTGAGATTTCGAGCAATAATAAAAAAATAGGATGCAGCACAACTTAAAGTCGAATTCGGACCCGATATTGCATGATTAATATTTGAATATGTGCAGCAACGGAGTAAACGTAGAGTCTCAAAGTAGGTAACGATATTATTATCCTTTGCCACGAAGGTTAACAAACAAATTCTAGACATTTTATGACTTTTATTACCATAAAAAGTAATTGGATTCAGACAAAAAAACTTGGCATCGATTCATTGTACGTTAATTACAACATCTAAAAATAGTTCGAATTCAGCCCACACAAAACTATTATACGAACGTACGTACTTAAATCTTAACCAAATAGTTACGTATACATGCGTTTACATATAACATTTCTTGACGGTTATGAATTCATTTTATGTAACACATGAAACAAATCATCCACGTGCTTCTTATATTTGAGATTCGCCCAATTATTATCTCTATCATATAATTACCATATACGGTTAAAATAATTTGTTTCCCACTCTGTTAATAAATATAAATATCTCAGCTACCCCACTCCTAGACCTAAAAAAAAAAAAAGTCTTTCACCTGTTTCGTTTCTTTTAATCATTTTCCACAGGAACGAATAACTAAGACTAAAAAACAACCTAACCTGACATAAATAACCATGTCACAATTCATTTATTTTCTCACTCTATTCTTGGTTTTTATTGGGTCTACTTTAGCCGGTAAGTTATTAATTTTTCTTTTCGCTTATTATTTAAAGCAAGTTTGATTATAAATCAAATAGGGATGTTATTTGGCATATCTAGCTTATCTTGAATATAAATTTATTGCTTGATTAAAAAATTTCATGAATTGTATAATTCCGACTATGTACTAGATAAGCGAAAAAAAATAAAAATAAACTAACCAAATAATATCCCAAAGGGCATAAAAGACGATAATTAATTCGAATTAAATAAACTAATCAATATTAAAATTGTACTCATATTTTCAGGTGTTGACGTTGTTAACACGCCTGTTGGTAATATTGCTCAAGGTGCCTCTATTCCGGTCACTTGGACCTATACTCCAGGGAATGCGGCTGCGGGTGTTTTACGAGTTGTCAATAACTCAACTCAGAACTCTCAAACAATTAGTGATAATATAAACCTCGCTACCCAATCCTTCCAATGGACGGTCAGTGTTCCCCCGGGTGTTTATTATTTTGCTCTCAACGACGGGACCGGTGATAAATTTTCTGGACAGTTCACCGTTATTCAAGGTAGCGCCCCCCCCTCTGGCTCTGCAGCTCCAGCTGCTCCAAGTCAAACTCAATCTCGCGCTACATCTGCTCCTGCTGCCCCCGCTGCAACTAACAATCCCCCTGCTTCATCTTCTCAACCTCAACCTCAACCTCAACCTCAACCTCAATCTGCTAAACAACCCGCTGCCGCCAGTACACCTGCAGGAAATACGACACCCTCGTAAGTAGTTTACGATTTATATCTGAATACACAAAGTTTAAAGCATCTAAATAATCAATTTTAACCATGTGATATATTTTTTAGTGCTGGTAAATCAACATCGGCACCTTCAGCCAATACTGCCGCAAGTTTCACTGGATCAAGCTTTTCTGGATACAAACTTCTGTTTAGTCTTATTGTAGTAGCTGCAGCAATGGTACATTTTGCCTAAAAATTTATAATCCTAGAACTAGAAAAACCGGTAATTTTAAAAATTTTAACCATTTACATATTTCTATCTGCCGAGTGAGAATATATTAAAGAATAGTGTTACAATATATACGTAATATAATATAATTATTAGAATTTAATGCTTGGGAATAAAATGTCATTTTTTTTTATTTTTAATTATTATTAAATTAACGAAAATTATGATAAAGCGTGTACCATCTCAATTCATGTAAAAATAAAAATGTAATTTGTTCACTTATATCTACAAAGATTTCTCGTTAACCACACATAAATCGATAAAATATTGTATGTATGTACGTACGTACGTTAACGCGATAGGGGCTACAGGATTGTTAATAAAATGATGAATTAGAGTTACATTACTTATATGTAATATACATTTATCCAATTAAAGTCTATCACTTACTAACTCCTAAATTTTTAACAAATGTATTAGTATGTACATACGTACGTACGTTGAAAAAGGCAATATGGCTTCCGGAGTAGAAATGCAGTAGAAACCGTTACGGCTTATGCCGTAACTAATTAAAGCTTATGTTGTAACTGGTTACCCTCTACTCCGGAGTGTAGATGGGTTGGAATATAGAATATGCTAAGTATACACTATTCAAATTACTTTAATAATTTAAGTTTTCAATCGAAGCATGGATAGACTTTGATTAGACTACGTCACGAACTCTATAATATCGAGTCACAGATTTACACAATAGACCAGAATAACAGTAAAGCCAATCCAATGGGTCAGATTCACAAGCCATATAACGATAAGAATGTTTCATCAGTCAATTAGTCCAGATTTTTAAGAACCTGTAGCTGACCTGACTTCTTAATTGGGTTGAAACATTATTACATGATGATAATAATTACCATAGCGATCGTTATCATTGTACAATTTGAAATCAAGCAACTCGTTAAAAAAAAGAATATAATTGATGCCAAGAGAGTAGAATAATCAATTTGGTAAGTTGATGCCAAGAGAATGACGTATTCAAGTTGGTACTTGCTTTTTTGTTTACATGTTATGGTCCCGTACCCTTATCTAATCTATTATTATATATCGATATTAGAGAACTATCTGGACAATGCCAAAGTATATAATTCTAATAAAATAGGGTGAAACTCACGTCAGAGATAGTTACTTTATTGACCTTATTAGTATTCAACCCTAATTAAATATAGATCTGCATCAAAAAAGTAACCCAAAAAAAAATTGCAAGTTTCACCATTTTCGTCTCCACATTGATAATCAATTCAAGTTTCACCTTAATCCTGACATAATAGTTAACGAAATGTAAAGGTTTTCAATACCGAACAAAGAAATATTTAAGACTTGTCTATCATTATAAGAAAGGGGTAGCAGACAATAAAATAGGATAGGAATGATAATTGATCCCGCAGCAATTATAGGCAGATTTTGAGCAAGTTTCGTATAAAATGGCATTGTTAACCGGTCTTCATTTGGCATAGAGATAGGAACCATTTTATTTGTTTCATATTTAAATTTAACAAATATTCGGATATCAGACAATTTTTTATTATAAGAGTAAAAATGGCAAAACCTAGCGAATTTCCGGATCCCATTTGTGATTTGGTATATACTTATAATAGTAGGACCTAAATAGTATCGATACGTAACCGCCTTTCATCCTTCCGTAAAAAGAATATATAATTAATTAAATATGTAACACTGAAATTAATTAGTACGAATCCAAATGAATTAGTACGAATTTCAAAAAGTTCGCTTGAGGCAAATCTTCAATTATTCACTTTGACAATGGTGATCCCAAGATGCATATCAATATCGATATTCTACGATCGTGATCGTGTGATCAAAAAAATAAGAAAAAATTAAGATGGTGCTAAGAAAAAATTAAGATGGTGTTAAGAAAATAAATGACAATAAAGATAGCGAAAGAAAAAAATATATATATAGAAAAATAAAATAATAACACTGATGGTATGGATCGACAGGTTAATCACCAAGTTGCCTAAATTTGACTGGAGTCACTAACCTAAAAAGTAAAGTGATGGAATTCATAATCGCGCGAGTTCTGAAACGAAGGAAAAAAAAATAACACCAAAAACGGGTAGGCTGACCAAGGGCTGTGTGAAAAAAAATACGAAAATTCAGCGTAGGTTCTTACAACCTTCGAATTCACACGAAAAAGAAGTGAAAAAGCAAAAAAGAAAGTTCAATGTACTATGAAATTCTTCGATCAATTCTTGAAATTTGTGAAGCAAAAAGATAAGATGGAATATAGTGTAATATTACGAAGGAAATCTCCAATGAATATTAATAAAAATATCCCTATTTCGTGTTTTTGCTTACCTTTAAGTTCACAAAGTTTTCCATATCGTTTGTCTCGTATTCCAATGTCGTTCTCTGTTGTATCCGTCAAAATTGTATGCCTTGAGTTAACTGCTTTTTTTGCTCTATTTTTATTTTTTTTTTTTCTTAAAAAGTCTTTCGTTCATTATAAGAATTCTCCGTTTGGCGACAGAGTTGCGTATTTTCTGTCGTCATCATTAGTAACTAATCACCGAATGAATTTTAAAAACATTTATTCAATAAAATTAATTAAAAACATATCGATATGGTAACTATGATTCCAAACCGAGTATCCGAGGCTAAAACCAGATGCCCGAATAAAAAGGGTGATGCAGATTTATGTCATCATATAAAGCGCAAACGAGCCGTAATAAGTCTGCATCAATAGTCATTTCATGCATAACTCGGTTATCTTATTATCTATAGTAAATGACTGCTTGAATATCTTATTTGATTTACGCGAGGTCATTGTTGCACATTTTAGGTGTCCCAAGTTTTGAATTTGTCCGGCGGACAGCCGTCCGTACTCTTTATAAATATATAATAAAATTAATGTTACAATTTTAGGATAAGATTATTTTATGTCAAATCCGTTCACACAACATATCGATACCGATACGTATACGTATTTTTGTCAAGCCTTCCATATAATATATAAAAAAAAAAGCGGATTAATAAAAAATATAATGATTTTATTGGTTATAATATATATATATTTTTTTTTTGAATCCAGACCAAGATGTTATGTACGTACGTACGTACGTATTATGTCAAATATAAAATTGGTTCGATAATTACCCATATATAAAAAGAAGCTAATACTGTAATTTAATTGGTTCACTGAGTAAAAGAACTGTTCATCAATCGTTAATTAACATCTCTATGAAACCAGCAGAATATTTTTTGTCCGCTCTGCATTGGTAATAAACC